GTCACCTTTATAATATATAAGTCGAACGTGTTTTTGATCATGTTTCCTGAGGCTTTTGACTTCGATAACTTCCACGTTGTCGAGTATGAACGACGTGTACACTAAGCTCACGAAGATTCAGAGCGAGGTCATTTCAGGAGAGAAAGCTGACAGGCCAGTCGTTCATCTATGTTTCATCTAGCCCGCTGTCCACGAAACCTTTTTGCAGTTTGCGCCAACTATGCCAGTCAAGTGAAAGAATCCCTCAAGAAGCACTTTGTGGAATGCACGAAGTATGATGTGAGTCTTCACAATTTCATCACAAGGATTAAGACTCTAGGACTTGCAATAGGCATGCCGTGGAATGACGTCACATATATACCGGCCGTTTATATACCTGAGATGTGTGGAGTTGGTGTCATGTGCAGCTCAGGAACATCAAAGTGGTGAAGGCCAAGGGTGAGGCCAAGGCTGGCGCCAAGCCAAAGGCAAAGGCGGCAGCGAAGCCTGAGGTAGAGGAGTCAAAGTCAAAACGAAAGGCTGAACCTGTGGAGCCTACCGTCAAGGCCAAAAAGGCCAAAAAGTAGATCCTGAACCCTGCAAAAAATTTTGATTGATGGCACTTGGGGTATACATGGTGCCACGCAAACTACAACCGTTGCAGCTGAGCGTCAAAACAATTGACTTGGAAGCTGCACGTGAAGCTACGAGTTCGTTCATGCCATGAGGTTCCTGATGGAGATTCCCACACAAAAAAAAAAACATGATTTTTTGCTATCTACCCGGACCCCAGCGTCAGGTCTGTCGGATTCCGATTCCGATGACGGCCAAAGCCATGATGCTGGTGGAGGCGGGGAAGAGACGTTCCCGAAGTTCCGACAAACCTTTTCCTGGAAAGCCCTTTCAACAGAACAATGCATCCACCTTGCAGGTTCCTCCGATGACCCACTCGAGATGGAGCTCATGACTGCTTTTGAAGATGGGGTGGCTTGCCATCAACTGTGAGATCAAACTGCGGGGTTTAAGGTTTTGTGGTAGACAATAGGGGCTGAATTCCAATGGATGCATAGTCTGTTCACCTTCCAAAGGTGTTTTAACATGTTCTGGCCTCCTGATGGCCATCTCAGGTTGATTCCGCCCGACGAGTTGTTCGAGTAGCGACGAGTGCTGTGAAGAAGTTCAACGCTTATGGTGACTTGGCTTCATTTCCAATTCTTGCCCAGTGTCAAGTGGAAGGAAATCATGGGTCCCTCATGAACATGCAAGTAGCACTCCCATGGGTCAATGAACGAAACTAAACCCAGGTCTTTCGGACCCTGTCATGAACCGCTTGGCCAAGTGCAGCGCTAACTGCAAGAGAGAGAACAACCTCCGGCGCAATCTCCATGCGATGCTGGTCAAAACTGGTCGCCAACTCGATGTGAAGATCAGTCGGATACCTTGCCCGGTGCAGGTCATTCAGGGGAGTAAGGTTTCAAAGAAAGTTGTGGATTGGCCAGTCATCCACTTTTCTGATTGGATCAAAGCAGCCTTGATCCATCGCGGGGAAATCCTCCTGGGAGGAAACCATGCCACACAAACCCAAAGTTGGCAAAACCTTTTTGGCCAATTTTGGACAGACTATCAGCTTTGTGACCCGCAACACCCCATCTACAGCGAAGTGGAGGAAGGCAATCGATGCCTGTTTTTGCCTTTTACTCATCATGGGGACGAAGGTCGCGGTCGGAACAAAGTGCCAGTTCTCATTGAGAATTTTTGCCCAGTGATTGGCTACAAGGGTGTTGACTTTACCAACCTTAGTGGGACCCTAGCCTTGCATTCAATTTGCAATTTTTTGTTGCCTTTTCTTTTCTAACAGGTCGAACACACCTTTCAGCTGGACCTCGAACCGCTGCCCAGGCACACCTTCGACACACGGCTACTCTACACTGCCATGGCCGGCAAATCCTCTACCCCTGGCAGCCTAGATGCCCTTCATCAGGGGATGGCCGAGGACTTGCGTGCGCTCTTCTCCTCGGGTGTGGAGGTGGCAATGTACCAAAGGGAGTGGGCACACTAGCCTACCACGTTTTCATTCCAAATATGTTTGTTTTCCTTGCTGTGACCCCTTGTGGTATATCCCTGGACCAGGTGACAGTGCATGGCAGGATCATTAAGATTCATGCTGCCTGCGTTGGTGGCAAGGGGGATTGGCCATATGTGCGAAAATGTTTCGGATTGAAGCCCGGATTTCAAGTTCCCCGAATTTGCCATATGTGTCCAAAAACAGTGCCTTGGCAGCCCTTGTTGTTGAATAAGACTTTGGAACAATTAGGTCATAGGGTCACCAGGGTCAAACAGCTTAACTTATGGGTCCCCTTCTGAGCTTCCTAGGAATGGTGGAACATGGGTGCCAGCAATCCTATTCGAGGGTGGCAGTGCAGCGAGGGACCTGATCCCTTCAAGGTGGACCAGGGGGTGGCTATGAGAACCATCCCGGGCCTTGATGAGCCTTTCCGTGCCCGACCAGACCAAATGCATGTGTACGCGTGTGGCTACGGGAAGGACTTCGCCTCCAGTTCTGTCATGCTTTGTTGTCGGATGAAGGTGTGGGCAGGCAGGAGTTTGAGCGCAAGGCTTCAAATCGCCTTCCAGAATTTCCGGTCCTGGTGCCATCGCAAAAAGGAATCCACCAGCTTACATGACTTCTCCTCAAAAACTTTCAAGATGGGCCAGACACTTGGGTTAAGCAGTCATGTGGTTGCCTCCGTCTCACGTTGCCCCCACCTCATAAAAGAAGAAATGCATTAAGGAACTACAGCGCCTTTCCGACTGGCTGTGGCAAAGCCTACGATGCTACTTTGATTGCCCGGTGGCTAGAGGAGGAACTTTCTGGTGTTCATGTGGAAACTTAGAAACAGCAATGTTATTGATTTGATCGCTCTAGCCAGGAAGAACCCCTGGGGGATTTACCAACCTTATTGTTTTGCCCAGTCTTTAAACTATAGCAATTAAGGATGGGGACGATGCTGAGCTCATGGAAGTGTTGCAGTGGTGCTTGAAACACACGAGCATCTTTTTTCGAGCGCTTCACAAGTCTGGTGTTTGGCTGGATGTTGGTGTGGCCAAGAAAGCCAGCTCAAGTGGATGGTTTATGACCGCTACTTGCCTGTATAAATTTGTTTGTTTTTGAGAGGCCTTAGGGTAAAACGTTCTGCAGGTTCACTGTGTGTGATTGTTGGGATTTTCTTTCAACTGCAACCACCACATCCCACCACCCTGAGGAAGCTTATGGCTGCTTAGCTGAGCTGTGCGCTCACCACACATGGCGGTTGTACAGGATGAGGCCCAAGATCCACCTTCAACAGCACATAGTGTTCCCTGGCAAAACCCAGGGTTTAATTTTGAAGCTTTGCTATTTCTCACCGGAGGGCCAGGTACTTTAGGTTCTACAGGCTCATGATGAATGTTGCTTTTGCTTCTGATGGCATGTCAGGCGAGATCTTGAACTCCAGATCTCACGGGGATGCAACAAAATAATGAATCCCATCTCCTTTTCCACATGGATGGATGAGGACTTTGTGGGGAGATGCTCTCGGATCTCCAGAAGATGCCATGCTTTCAATATGCCGCTTCGGGTCCTACAAGTGGCCTTGTTGAAGTATAAGAGGCATTGGAAGAGTGAGCGCTGGGGCCAAAGGTCTTCAGCTAAATGAGCCAAGCTTCGGGGAGCTTCGCCGCAGAAGAAAAGAACATTCCAAGTGGCCGTTGGTGAAGATGAGGTCGATGTGTGTGTACATGTCCGTGCAGTGCGAGCAAAAACCAAGAAACCTAACAAATTTCACTTCAGGGCATGCAATCGAACAAGTATTTGAGAAACGAACCTCGAGCAAAAAAAACATTACACTTGGGGGTACAGGTATATTATAGTGTTCTTGTGACAGCTTTTGCTGTGTAGTCCAATGAGTTGAGAGAGAAGGTATTAATATAATATAGGACCTTTTATGGTGCAATGAAGTCAAGTCCAAGTTAATTCAAGGACGAGAAAGGCTTCTTCGGCAATGACAACAACCACGGCCAACAAAGGATGCTACAGATGTCCACGCTAGCTGCCACCCACAGCTGGGTCATGAGCAAATCCTATCACCCAATTGTTTGTCGTATAGACATGGGCCGAAGTCGGGCAAGTTCCTGCGATGTTTGCATTGGGTACCCTTTCTTGAACAGCGAACATGGTGGAGCTGTTTGAAGAGGAAAAGAATCAAACATGGTGGGTGATTGAAGGCTTCATGGAGCGTCAGGTCACTTAGACAGACTTCGACATCCCATCATTCCTCAGACATGGAGATCCCTGGGTGAAGGGCGAACAATCCAAGGACACCTCCGTACTCATCCCCAGCAAGATGGATCGAATTGGTTTCATAACACGTGTTGCTTTCACGCGTGTTGTTCACTGTGTCTCACAAAAAGTGGCTCTCAACCACTGAAAGCTGAAAACCATTCTACACTGCCATGCGTAAATCATGGGGAGTGGATGGCATCACCTGATGGGAGTGGATGGCACCACCTGATGGGAGTGGATGGCACCACCTGTTTGGTGGTAGGAAACACTGAGTGCCATACCCACAGGATTCCACTCTTTGCTCAGCATGGCTTGGCCATGTTGAAAGGTCTTTGGTGCCCATCCTGCTCGGGGAGCACTCTCCACATGTCCCAGATGCCTTCCGCGGCGACTCCCAGCCGGATGCATTGTAAGTCGTTGAACGTCACCACTTGGACGAGGAGGTGACAAGGCATTTTAGAGAGAACTATAGCACGACAAACTCTTCGCTAACCCATCTCCACACGTTGGGTTTCTGGTATCTTTCCCAGACCTACCGTAGGCTTTTGGCTAGGCGGCTAGACCAAACGGCTGTTCGAAGCCCTTTGAAGCCTTCAGAATACAAAAACAGCACCCTACCCGTTGGGAAAGGAAAACCAGCACACTGGGCACCCCGGCCCCCAAATTCGCGCCCGACCGTCCTCCGCTTTGGAGCTTCCAGGTTTTGCCTTTGGTCAGACCCTTTGGCAGCAGCCAAAGCCGTCTTGGCCTATGAGAAGCTGGCAGCCAAGAACCTGCAGCAGGCGGCCGCACATGGACTTCAAGAGAAATCTGAGGACATGGCCTGGCCTGGTTTATTGACGAAACTTGATCTCTTAGCTTTGAGGTCACAAACACACCTGTGAAAGGTCAGAGACGTTCAAAAGGCTCCAGGTTCCAACTTAGAGGCACCACCATCCGCGAAGTTGGGCCGCGGAGTCGGTAGACGATGGGGTCCGATTCGTTCAGGCCAACCAATGGGCGGCTGAGAAGAATTTAAGCGCCAGCAGACTGGCCAACTTGTCAAAGGACAAGTCCTTCCTTCTTCGTGACATGTCACCTGGCGACGGCAACGTTTGTGTCACCAGATCTGGAACAGGTGCTGTTTTTGTCTCCCCGCAACAACCATGGAGGTGGACCAAACCTGCTAGAGGACTTCGGAGTTTTCGAAGGGGCCAGAACGTCCACGAAATCATGAGGACGTTGGACATGGAAACAGAGGGAAACAGTGAAACATTCATGCCTGAGCTACCTGTATAGTTGTCTACAGCAGATTTGTTTTTGTGGGTCTACACTTGGACTCGGAAGGGAAACGGTCGTCATCGTCACAAGCTGAGCTGTGTTGATGTCTCTTCTTGGGTGGACCGGATCGATACTGCTACAGTAACGGCTCGAGCTAAGTGCGCCAAGTGTACCATGTATACTGTTGTATACTGTATACTGATATACTCTGTGTGTGTGTGTGTCGATGTGTTGGGATCCATTTACAAAGATCTATCAAAGACCGCAGTGAGTATGTCGTGGCCCACTGCGCCGTGGAGATCTGACTGACGAACTCATCAAGACTTGGGGGTGCACAGGGCTGGTGAATCCCCACTCCGGCCATCTCCCACGCCCATCCGATCGACTGGCCCCGCATGGCCCCGCACCACTCCCCTGACCATGGCGGTGGCAATCGTGCACTCGTGAGGCCATGCGCTTCACCAAAGCCGTGGCAATCGATGGACCCACACCATGGTTTTCACAGCGCCGAGGGGCCGTGGGGCCGAAAACGTGCCACCTCCGCCCCCTGGATCGGTGAATTTCGGCGTTCGTGCTCACATCTGCTGAGGAAGCGCGCAGGCTTGCTCCGAGGACTGCAAGCCAACGGCTCCGGAGCGGCGCGGAGCTCGGAGCCCAGAGGGCTCGGAGGTCCAGAGGGCGCGGAGCTGCTGGAGACGCGCGGGGAGTTGGAGGAGGCGCTGCTGGAAGTGGAGCGCCTGGGCGAGACGATAGCTGAAGTGATCATCGGGGGGGAGGATAGGGAGGTGACCTCTTTTGGGTTTCAGTAGTTCTTACCAGGGTCCCCCAGCCATGGGGTGTTAATATTTATACCTGTAGGGGGTCAGTGGTATCGATTTGAATTTACAACCCCTTGTGGGTCCTGTTGGTTCACCAACATGTGCTTCTCATCATGTTTTGGGACGATTGCGTGGAGCAAGAATTCCCAAAACCTCGTCACCCATTTGTTCATCCCACCCTACCGTTGTTTTAAATGGACATGGCCGTGGATCATAGTTGGAACCTTCCGTCACCCACCCCCGGAGGAACGTGGAGCTCTCTACTAGGGCCCTCATTTGGGGTGTCTATCAACAGCCGTCATGGGGTGTCAATTCACAACCCCCTTGTCACGAGTCCTGGTACTCGTAGGGCCCTGGACAAACTCTGGCCGAAAAGGACCTGCTCACACAGTGGAAAGAAAGAGAATGCATGAGATGCAAGATCGAGGATTCTGTGTTCGAGGTGTTTGTTCCCAGTGCCCTGTGAAAACAACGATCGCCGCGCGGCGTCCCTCTCTCTGACTGGTGCCCCTGATGTGTTGCCCTTCAGTCCTTCGCTTGACTGAAGCGCCGGCACCGAACACACCCCAGGCAGGAAGAGGAGACCGAAGACGGAAGCCTCTCGATGGACGAGCCGCTGGAGGGCGATCTGGAGGCCTTGCTGGCCACCGTCCTTTGTAGCGCATATCCTGGAAACATTGCAATGCGCTCGCAAGAGAACAGGAGATGGGATGGTGGGTCAGGCGGCCGACTAATATGTGCTTTGTGCTTTGCGAGAAGCTACGGATGAAGAATGACTTATTAAACATTGTTTGGAATGGTGAATCCCCTTCCAGAGATTCCAGAGGAGGGCTATAGTTTGCTTCAAGAAGGATAGACTTATACAAGTTGCTTCAAGGTGACTGCTGAAAGTCTGGCGGTAAAGAAGATAGAGAAGTAGAAGATCAGTTGGTTGCTTCGTGGTCCCTTCGTCGTGTTCACATCAGAGGCTCCATGTATGGAATATTTGTAGCTACCTTGGGGATCATTGGGGTGGTTTTAGGGCTCGGGGTCAACGTTCAATGTCAGTAAACGTTCCCTAAATATAGAGTGTTTAGCGTATATATAATATATAGACCATTCTCAACACGGTTAAAACACCCTATATTACAGTAATACTCAACACCTGTTGGTAAACGTGTATTAGTAATAGCATTAAACGTGACGTCGCTGTACCTGGCGCCTGGCGCCACGCTTCCTTCGGTTCGCTGGTTCGACTCCTTTCGTCTGGTTGGTCGAGGAGGAACTTCAACCTGAGCAGCCATGCCACAGCGAACATGTCCCCAGCATCGGTGAACTTCAACTCCCATGAAACTCATCCGTGGTGGCTTTACTGTGATGTGGCCTGGCAGGACCGGACGCACCGGTGCACCGGGAGGTGGCCTTTTTGTTCGGTTCCGGTGACTGTCAGAGTCGTTTTGTACCGAGAAAGTCAGAATGGAAGGCACTGAGTCACTGGTCCTTTGCGGTGTTTTTCTCAGGGTTTGGAGTGATAGAAGAGCTCCAAGGTGTTCTACCAGTTCTAACAAAGAAGAGATGGCAAGTCATTGGGAGAATTCGATCCTCTAAACGGGAGACCATCCCAAACCACCCAATGAGATCGCTGAGAAAATAAGACTGTTTCGACGTCACAAAGCATTGCTCCGGTCATTTGGGTGGCACACCCGGTCCAAAGACCCTGAAGAGGTACTTCGAGCCGCTCACGGGGTGAGGTGGCGAGCAGCCAACGAACGTACATGCACAGCAGCACCTTGATCCACGATTGGCAGATCGCGCTCTTCGGTGGCCTGCGCTTCAAAGAGGCAGGGTGGGAGGGTGGCTTCGAAAGAAAGCATCATTGTTTTTGTTTTTGGGGACGATCGCGAAGGTTCACACGTCCCATTAGGATCTTTGAGTATAAATATATAAATCACCTCCTCAGCTGAGCTGGGAGTGTCTTTTCTTGCACTGAGGCCCTTCCTCGAGGATCGGGTCAGGGATTTGTGCCCAATCCCATCACAACAGCCTCAGAGCTGTAGAATTTGAGACTCCCTGTTAGAGCACAAGGGTGCAGGCGCTACTCCAAGGGATGCCAGGACTCAGAAGGATGGGTCAAGGATGTACTTCAGATGTCAGTGGGTCAAAACCTCACCCTGCAAACTAACTCGGTACTAATAATGGTGAACATCCTCAACCTTTATGGCATCTTTAAGATGTGCCAGGAGTAGATTTGTCGAGTTCTTGGAGCATTGGAGCTTTTGGGCGTATTCTGTTTTTTAACATAGACCATACTTCAGGCAAACCAACAAGTATGCTTGTTAACAATGTTCATAAACCCCTGTAGGGTCAGCTGCGAATCGAATTAATTACCAAGTCCAATTTTTGTCGCAGGTGTGAGACGGTCAATTGTCACACCGTTTTCATCCGTGTTCATTAAATTTGAAATTTTGACAAAAAAAAAGGTTTCCCGGTGTGAAAAATGACCGCCCACACGGCCCCAGGTCTCCCAGTGTAGGATTCTAGGGGTGGGGTAGGGGCTGTAATGAGTTTGCATTTCAATAAGCGCAACTTTTGTTTGGCCAGTGTATCTGCATGCATGGAGCGTCTCCGAAGAACTTAAGGGACTTCAGTGACCCTGTCGATTTGGGCGACATGGAAAACGCAGCATCTCAACACGGAAAACAAGTAATTTGCTCATCATGTATTTCCTTTGAACTTGTGGCTTGGAAGAGGACCTGAAGCTCCGAAAAGCCACCCCTTCGTTCTCGCCCGCTGAAATGGGGTCCCGAAATATGCCGAAGTGTCTCACAGGCCTATGATCAGAAGAAACACACCTGCATGACCCTGGACAATTGGCTCCAGGCTCAGCTCATCTCGCTTCACATGGCACCATGTTCAAAGCACTCAGCAAATTGTTGTTCGGTCGTGTAGGGAGTTAGATCTCTGGATCGGATGGAGGTAGATGGGCCGTTGAGTTCGGAAGATGGACTGAACCGTTTTGGAGGCTCTCAGCCAACAGATAGCTCGGTTTGGGCTAAATTTGAGACTGTTTGGTTGTTGCGCAGACATCAGGTTCCAGGATCGTTTTGCCGGTCTGTAAGACTCAGGGTGGTGAAAATCACCCCGAAGCAATGCAAGGAACGCTCATGAACTCTCCTGAGTGCAGGGACCCGCACATGTCCGAAGTCCAGGATACTAGACTCCCTGAACTAATGATGTCAGTTGAGTTTCACCACCTGTTTGGTAACCTACCAGCGATGGCCTCCAACCTAATAGCACTGGCCTCCAACCTAATAGGAATGGCCTCCAACCTATTCGGAACATGATCTGAACCTGAAACCCTGTGTTCTATTTCCATCCAGTTCCAGTTCCATGAGTCTTTCAGGCCGCTCTGTGCGTTGACCCGACCTGCCCGTCTTGACCGGACCTCGCAGACCTAGCAGACCCCTTCTACACTCCCTGAAAGAATCATGGAAGTAACAAGTGGATGAGGATGGCCTCACTGATTATATATCAAACAGGTGCTGAGGCTCCACTTCAATCTTGAGGGAGTGTTGTATGGTACTGGACATCACCACAACAGCTTAAGTCCAGCACAGCTTTCCATGCATGCAGCTGATCATTCTGTAGAAGAGACTGTCTCATCCTTGGATTCTAGATTCTAGTCCATTCAGTCTACCAGCCAGTCTGTTTGGTCCGAAAACGACATTCGGCCGCTTTGGGAGGTTGGCGGGCTGCATCGGAGGACGAACGAGCTGATCTTGAAGCTACGTGCGCAGGTGATGCTGGGGGGTTGGGATCGTGTCTGGGCGGGCGTTTTACAGCAGCGTGGGGCATTTTGTAATTCCAAATACATGAAGATACTGTATGGGCATGCTGCATGCTACTGTGATGTTAGTTTAGAGATCTATCGCCGCAACATGCAATTCTTGATGTTTACCACTTGTACTGGTACCAAGTCATTTTGCGTAGACCATGTCGTGCCTATTGTCATGACTACATGTATCGTTTGTTAAAGCAGCACTGGAGTCTATGACGGCCTGGGTTTGAGTACATTGTCCAGATGTGTCATGCATGGAGATATACATCCCTGTCAAGACTCTTGCATGGATGAAATCCCAGTGCCTTATGTGATTGGCGATTGGCAAAAAAAACAAAGAAATAATAGTTTTTCATAGTCTTTCCAATTTGTGCTTTATATAGGCCTGGCCAATAAATATAAACAGTCCTTTCTAAATAGTCTGTCCGATTTGAGCCAAGAGTTCTGAGTTCTGAAGTTTGGTATTTCTTTGATCCGCGTCACATCGTCCAACTGCGTCACGCTGTCCTCAAGGGTCGGAAAATCACCGAGGTCCCGTCCCGCGGTCGACCCGGTAAGTCGCCGGCGGAACCTGCTAGCTAACCATCCCAACATTAAAAGGCCCTTTCCTCTCAAAACATGTCAAAACTGGAGTTGTGCTTGTTTGGGCTTATTCGGTGATTTTAGGTGGATGATAGCAGCTGTACGACCATGATTTCTCCCCTCTTGGGGGTCAGCGTTTTCTCCTTGGTTTTTTGCCGAGTCTCGTGGCTGAGGGATTTTTTGACGCATGTTGACGCTCCCCGGTGTCACCCGCTGTAGCTCAGTCGACTAAGTAGTTAGGAAACAGTGAACGCCCCTGTTCGTTGATCGCGAACGGAACAGATCGCAGCTGCGAGTGTTCCCGACAGGTGAGGCACTGCATCGCCTGGAAAGCCTTGGACGCCTTAGAAGGGCCTGAAAAGCTCAAGGAGGTCTCCGAGGAGAGCGGGACGTTCGCGCCGGGATCGAGCGGGATTTGGGGATGATGGGGAGAGCATTGGAGAGGCAACTGTCTCAAGCTGGAGAGGTTTGTTGGGACTTTTCCCTATGGCCGGCATTTCATGGTTTGGTGTAATTAGTGGATGTAGGTCATGTTGGACAAGGAGCATTCAGGTAGGGTTATAAAGTTACTTAAATATCTCAGAACATACCGCACCTGGTGCCATGGCACAATTCGTTTGTGAGTGGGTTAGCCCCCCCTTATGGCTGCATGTCCCGGACATCGACCCGTCCCACCGGGTCAGGGGGCATCCTGGATCTCTCAAAGACACGGCCCAATGGTTTTGGGTCAGGGCACCAGGAGGTCAACGGAATAGACGCACCTTCTGGAGGTCAACCTACCAGGGATAGGTTTTGAGTAGGGAGGTTTTGGATCGTTGGCCTTCCAGTTGACTCAATACCCAAGGGAGGGTTTTGACCCAATACCCGCTGCATCAGGCCGATGAAGTGCTGGGGAACTTGCGCTCCTGGTTACAGGCACCGGCGGGGGATGACTGGTTCGTGGTTGGGAGACGAAGGGGTGGGCCGCACCGGCGGAGTTGCTTCGGGGAGACCTCCCTAGCGATTTTGATGGGATAAGCTGGGATCCATGTGTGAAGGCTGCATGTTCACGTATTTGATCATGCCAAACACCCCGGTACCATCCGGTACCCCACCACCGAAAGGCAAGGGCCATCAGGTGACGGACTCGTTGCACAAGTTGTTCTTTTGTGTGTGTGTATTGAAGTCTGTGTTCTGAATTTGACTCCTTTGTTGATTCAGCAGATGCTTATGGAAATGGTCAGATGTGAGACCACTATGATTTACTGTTGAACATGATATGCATAGTCTGCATAGTATAATCATGCACAATCAAAATTATAGTATGTATACATGAGTGGTAGCTTCCCTGTGCAAAGTGATTCATTTCCCTACAACATCCTAAAACCTACTGGTAGGTGATGGCAGGTACCAGGCGGGGTACCATACATACTCATGCCTCATATCAGTATAGACACATTGTTGTGCCATTTCAATTTTGATGACACACCCACTAACTGCCAGCATGGTGGTGTTGCTTTCGTATGTGTTTTTGTATTTTTTGGTGGTTTCCCTTCTGGCAGGTTCTCGCGAGGAATCCCCAGAATACCGAGGACACCCTTGAGGACTGATCGAGTGTCGACCGGGTCACATTCGACCTTTCGATTCGGGGTGTGGAAAGGCTGAGGACGGTCGAAGACGGCTTTTCGATGTTGGAAACACCTCCAACCTCACATCATTAGGGTTTAGAAGTAAACAGGGACACCTTCCAAAACAGTGGACGTGTTACGGCTGTTTCTTCTCGAAACACCTGTGAATAATCCAAAGGCCAAACTCCAGATCAGCAATAAAATGGGTTCTTGAATGACTTGAGTTCTCCCTCCCTCTTTAAAACGCCCAAGCAGCAGGGTATCAACGTTCCTGATCGCCTAATGCAAGGTGGTGTTTCAACCTATGACGGGCTGCAGGGGGAGCTCCAAGCAAGACTGAACCGAATTATTGCCACAGTCTCTGCCGAGAACTGCTATGGACTACTACTCCTAATTGTGGACTACACCAGCTGGTGTAGGAAATGACAGGTGCGTCCTGTTTGGGCCCTTGTTTGGGCTGGATGTACTTGATTAGACCGTCGCAGATCCCAGAACAAAAGAACAACAGTAACAGTAACCATGTCTTTGGATGAATTGTTTGCTGGAGGATTTGGTGGATCTCATTCCATCGTTAGACTGACCATGATGCCATTTGCATTGAAGCTTGTGCCAGCATCTCTTCAGCGCTACCAGTCATAGCAGATGTCAGCCAAGGAGTCTCAATCTTGAGTGATTATTTCGATTTTGGCTCGGAAACTTCCTGTCAAGGGGAACGTCCATACCCTGTACACCAGACGGTGCGCACTCACAATCACAAACCGCGCCGAGCAATCACTTGAGCAATCAAGCTTGAAATGGATTCGCAGGTTTTTTGGAGTGTCAGATCTGTCCAGGATGCCGTTCAACCGGCTCATGCCGACACCCAACTGACTTGCGCTCTTGCTTTTGACTGACTTTTTGGCATTGAAACTCTCTGACGCCAAAAACGCCTTCCCCCAATTCTCATGATTTTTCACCAGTGGCGCCCCCCTGTCTGTGTCCTTCACACCACCCCATCTGGAACGGGCGCCTTCGGTCGCCTCAGCGGTCGCTCGACCACCCGGGGGACCTCGCTGGCTTTTCTCGGTCGAAGCGCTCCAGACCGGTCCAGACCGGTCGAAGCGGTCGATCATGCCGCATCATGCTGTGGGCCGTAGAACAAGGGACAATGAGGGACAATGAGGAACGAGCACGAAGCGAGAAACGGGGTGGCTCATGATTGGCAGTTTCGTTGGGAAGTCAACTGATTCATCCCATACCCAGCCGCCAGACAAGGCCAGACTGTCAGGATGACTTGTTGGCTTGTTGGTGAAAAGAGCGGGACGTCCCCTCGAGTTCTCTCCCCTAACACCGTTCACCTCCGAAGGTAGCAGTATGTAGCAGCGCATCAGAATGCGTCCTTCAACAGATCGAAAGCTGGTTGAACCCCCGTTTGTGAATTGCAACTGCGGCAGGATGAGAGCACGCTCACCTTTGAAGAAGAGAAGGACGAGCAGGATGAGGAGCTGGATGAGACACCAGACGACGAGGAGGGGTGGAATTGGGGGGAGATTGGACCAGCTTGAAGTGCTGCAAGTGAGTCGATCGGCAAACCCTGCTGACAGAATAAACAACTTCAATTTGCGAAGCGTAGACATTCCGTGGATCGTTGTGGTCATGAATCAGGTGTTGATGCTCAATCTGCGAATGTCTTGGATGATTGCTATTATAATCACAAGTCAAGACCAGCACCACCCAAACGGTGGTTTATATATGTTTTTGCTCATCCAAAAACCACGCTTTGGGTGGTGCTGGAAGATGGATTTGAGTCAAAACCAAACTAATCCCGTCCCCCTAATAATAAACACGGCCCCCCCCCCCCCTAATAAGGAAACCTCGGTCGCATTTTTTTTAATAGGGGGTCCCTGAAATCGGGGTGTCCAAAATAGGGTCACCTGGAAAGAGTTTCAAAACCAAAAAGTAATCCAGGAAAGTTTTATATAAAATCCTTTATTAAACTCATATCAAAAATGCAAAAAACCGCCAGATCGAAGGGTCTTCCTTTTCCCCTACAAAAACCTTCATTAGAATAGTGATTCTTCAGTAGACTAACAGCTAAAGCTTTCGAAAGGTGATGTCGCTGTGCCATGCGGTGTTGCATGACCTCGGTGGCAAGTGCGTTTGCGTGAGTCCGTGCCATTGAGGGAAGGAAAGCCTGCTGGTGTAAGCGCGGCGTGTCATGGTGGAGTTTTGGGGAACCTAATAAAAAAAACTACCCCCCAAAATCGACCATGTTGGTAGTTTAGTAGCGGTTTGAAAGGGCGGCAATTTAAAACCAAATATAAACCGAATTTAGGGGATCCGGCATGACTTTTTTTTAATTGGGGTCCGTTTTTTAATAGGTACTCGGGATTAGGGGTATCGAGGAAAAGGGTCCATACCTTTGACCCACCGTACGAAGTGGGCCAGGCGCCTGCTGCAAAAAGTCCCCCCCTGTGCAGACTGATGACCAAAGTTATTAGTTTGTATAATTTGTTTCGTAGCATATATTGCCTATATATTATGTGTCCAGCCGTCTGCGGATTTCGGAATTCTGAACGAATTAGTACATCGGTAGCCAAGTACATTGGGTCATGCCTCAGGAACATTGCGGCAGATTTTGATCCGTTGATCACTGTTTTGAGGGCTTTGGCTTTGAGGGCAAAATCAATGGATCATTCAGCACTGAGTAACAGCTGCTCCTTTGGAGTCTGGAATAGGTTCGACTGACGCCTAAAGATCTGGTTGGGGGTATGTGATGCTTTCGCACGTTTTTTTCCGGATTCATCACAGGAATTGAGAGAAAGAGAGAGAAAGAGAGCGAATGTGTCCACAAGCATAGCAGCGTGCTGATGTCGGTGAAGCTGGGGTAACAACAGTGCCACCGACCTCTCTCAAGCGAAGAAAAGAAGGATCGGACAGAGGAACCAGGTCTTACTGTTTCTTCCTATTGGGTCCCGCGTGATGCAGCTGGTACTGTATAAAACGAGAAAGGGGAGCCTGGAACATCATGATGGAACTGAGAACCCTCACTTTGATTGAAGTGATCGTTTTCAGCCCCAGTTAACCTATATACAATATATCCACCAGCGGTTTCCCCGCATATTGACGTTGATCTCTGTCTCTCTCTCTCTCTCCCTCTCTCTCTCTTTGATTGTGCCAACGTGGTGCCTTCACCCCTCCCACCGAACCGCCCCACTCACTGACTGCATGCGAGCTCATCATGCTCCACGTGTTTCCGAACGGCCACACACCGAACTGTCACTCCGTCTGCGACGACACCGGGGGAGCTCTCGGGCGGCGGGGAGCGCCCGAGCGGTGGGGAGGAACTGATGGTGAACGGTTTGGCCGAAGAAGATCTGACCAAGTTGACCGTCTCGCAGCTCAAGGAGCCAGCCGAGCGAGCGTGACACATGCAGCCGGGGCCGGGGCCGGGCATTAGGTGCATTAAAAGAATCCAAGCCATCCCGGGGATCCCCCGGTCTGTACCAAAGGTGAAGACATACTCAACAGCAAGATTCCAATGTTTGTTGCAATGAAAGGTCAAGGCTTTCTTTTTGGGGGGGTGGTATTGACCCTATACCGCCTACGTTGCCCAATCTCCCTCGTGAAACATGACTCTGTGACTGACCAGTTTGGTTGGCTTCAGCAGATCCATCAGATGTGTTCATTTCACTGATCAAAGTCTGCATTTTGTTTTCTATTCATGATACGTTTGTTCAACTGCAGAGGCATATCAGCGGGTTGCATATTCATCTTTCGGACGATCGAGTTTGACGCAAGGAGCTCAGGATACTCTTGCAATGGTTTCGAACCCAACTGCTTTGTCGCAGTTTGGTTCCGTGCCAGTCCTGGGAACCGTCTGCAGATTTCGATACATACAAGAGTGTTGCCGTGAGATATTTGGGGTGCATGTTCGTCTCGAACCAGCTGCACTGACCTGGGCCATGACCACAGACGGAGCCGACGGGCCCACTACAACGACGGAGCCGCACGCACGCGGTCCATGTTTTGCAGGGTGACTCCGGTGGATTCCCTTCCCACACATACGAAGTTTTGGACCTCGGTTGCCAAGATGTTGCGGCAGTTTCCGCAGAAAAAATCGAGGATTTGCTGAAGGAGAAGGGCTTGAAGGCGGGGTTCTTGGTGTTTTGCATGAATTTTGAGCTGGCGGGCCCCAAATTGGGCGCAACAGCTTTCCATCCACCCGGATGGACGGTCGTATCCCTCTCGCAACGTTTGGGAGACAAAGCCTTAGATGTTGTTTGGTTGCATCAAAGATGGCCATTGCCGCGAAGCCAAAAGGGTCGAACCTAATGTGGCTCTTGTTCAAATTCATCCATGGTGTCCCAAATGACTGCGCTGCAAGAAGCTACAAAAAGTCTAGAGTCTAAAGCCTAATGCGAACCTACTGAAATATTCATTGGCACCCTACAAATCCACATCAAAATCTGCAAATCTACCTTGCCAACCGTTGACTCAAAGGACAAGCCCAGGTTTTTCTACGAAAACTGCAGGCTTTCATTTGTGTGAAGATAAGAAGTCCACTTTGAACATCTTGGAACTAGTCGCTTGAGCTAGTCTCAGAGCTGAGGAAGAGACCCCGGTACTTCTGTATTTGTAATATAAAATATTATTATACCAGCATATATATTTTCTACCTGGATCTTCGACACGACACACATAATTGCCTTTTCAAGATAGACAAATCGCTACGGTGTGTTTTTTTCCCAAAGACGGCGTGTTGTTTTCGGCATCCAAACGGCGTAACGTAGACGCGGTCGCGAAAATCCCCATCCATGGAAACGGCGTGCACATATTTGCAACTGTCAAAACGGCAAAACTTTATGTTTGGAAAAAACAGTGTCCTTTGGACAAATGCCTCCGGCAAAACCCCACCAATGTTTGGATGTTAGACTGTCTACTCGATGGAAACTGGTGCTCTTCTTCCACGGCCGGTAGCGCCCGCGCCAGGTGAGCGGCCGCAAGAGTGAGCTCGTGAGCCGCTTGGCGGACTGAAGCCACGCCAGGTGCGGGCTGAAGCCACGCCATGCTGTGCGGACCGAAGCTCCAAATGACCAGGCCCTGAAGTTGGAATGAGAAGGATATTGATGAGTTGTGCTTGTTTGGAATTGGTGGGGAATAGGACATCATAGGACCATGAGAAAAAGACACATTGGAGCATCTAATGCTTAAGGGTACTCAGATCTCGATGAGGATTATCAACATGAAAGTATATGCAGCTATTCAACCAGCTTGAACCTCGTCGCACACGGCAGTTCAATCGGGCCAAGGCTGCTGCCTGGAACTTAATCGCACTTGTATTTCTCCGCCGCATCCCCAGCCTTGTAGCAGGTAGATTCACATTCCCGCGGAAGCGACAGTTCCTGCAGAACCAATCTGGGGGAACATTCACCAGCTACTGCATCAATATTAGTAGTAACAGGTGCCTTACTAGTAGTAACAGGTGCCACGCTAGTAGTAACAGGTGCCTTACTAGTAGTAACAAGAACGCTACTAGTAATGAGTTGGGTCACTGGGAGGTCGAACTGAGGGGCCACCGGTCTCCCTGTTCCACCCTAGCGCTCCGCTCCTCCAGGACCGCATCCCGCATCCCAAGGTAGTTAGACCGACCCCCAGTCGCCCACCCCAACCACCTGACTATATGGGGCCAGGAGCCCAAACGGGCAGTTCTTCCCAATCCCCATCCTCCCATCCTCGTGTCGCAGGTGACGAGTCGACCCACTTCACCAGACCCGTCCTCGTCGCGTCGACCCGCGGTCGAGAAAAAAAGGGGACCGACGCTGCGGTGCGAAGCTTGGCCAGATTGGAAAAAGGATCCGGCGACGTTCTGACCAGGATGGGTGAAATTTGGTCAGAACTCTGGTGGGATTCTGAACTCGCTGTGTGTTGAAACTAGCTGGGGAACTCATAAGTAGGTTCTATGATTTTGGGTCTGTGAATGTATTGGCTCATCAAGCTCAAGCTCGGGTTTCTTGACCTCAGAATGTCGGCCAGGATGGAGCCCTTTTTCCAAGGAGGGTAGCTTCTGTGGCTTTCGGCTCTTGTCGCTGTGGCTTCTTGGCTTTCGGCTTCTTGTTTTTTGGTTTTCGGCTTCTTGGTTTTGGGCTTCGTGGCTTTTGGTTCTCTCTGGTCCCCTGGTCTTGTTTGGTCCTTTGAGGTCTCCCTAACCTTGTGGGCCTATCGAAAAAGCACCGTTTGTTGTTTCACAGCCTGGCAAGCACAAGAAGTCCATGCCTTTCCTTCTTGTGCTGTTTGTGTCGCCTCGCTGCATACCTGACTCTGCAGCCCTTCTGTGGCTTCGGGGTGCTGATTGTTTCTGTGGCTTGTGTGGCTTTCATTTGGTGCTTGGTTGCAGGTTGGCTTTATGTTTTCTGATGGCCCGATGGCTTGTTTTTGGTTCTCGTGGATTTTTTTGGATTTTGATGGCTAGGTGTTGATAAATTCTCAGTTGTTTGCATTTTGGTGGCTTGGCACTTGGTTTGCTCTTGAGGGAAGGTGCTGCGCCCTCCCCAGCTTTTTCAAGCCAAGCCAAGTCAACCAAAGCAAAACACATCAAACAACAAAACTGAACCACAGTCAAACTAAAGCCAAGCCCGTGACCCCTCGCCACTGTTGAAAAACTACCCTCCTCAGAGGCACCATGGGACTACACTGGGGAACTGGGAACCTTCCTAAAGCCGCTCCTAGCAAAGCCTTAAAGAAATAGAACACAAAGAACAGCAGTCTTATTTACTCCAACTGGCCGATCCTTTTCTGAATGGGGTCCGTCATCGATAGTACCGAATCGCTGTTGTGAAGTGTGTTTTCCAAATGAAAGGCTCTCACCTTGAGAAATGCCCTCCAGTCTGTAGCGGTGATCAGTGTGCTATACTGGGAGGAAGTGAGATAGGAGTCTTCGAGCGTATGCTAAAAACAGAAATCCTATGTCATTTGCGGATAGTACAGTGATACCAGCTTTGCATTTCTTACCAAACAAAGGCGCGCCGACTTGCCTTGCTTTCCATTACGGATCGATGACGAAAGGGGTGCGTGGTGTGTTCATTCATCCATCGGTTCGGTGGCACGGTCACCCCCTTTTCACCAGGGCCCCTTTCCTTCCTTTGGTGCTGCAAAAGAGAAGCACATGTTTTTCGGTGAAGTGGACGCAGTGTAGCGCTTTTTCGGGCGTTTTGTTCGGCACTCTTGGTGTTTTCAGTGGCATCGACTCGGAAAGCAATTGGTTAAGACTTGTTAAGATCGTTAAAACTATCTCTGAATCGTGGAACGCCAGTTCATAGTCGGTCTTACATGGCTCTTATGTGACAGTTTGAAGACAAGGACCATAACATCCTTATCGTTTTGAAATGGACACCATGGATTCTATGGGTAAATAACGCTATTGGTCTCCGTTCTCAAGGCTTGGGAAGATGTGTATGCCAGCTCCATGTCGGGGTGAACTTGGGCTCCAACTTCTGCCCCAAACCTCATCCACTCACTGACCTAGTCTAAAACCTTCCAACCCCATAGAACCGACCAGAGAACCGAGTCCTGGGAGAGTGGAATGGTCCGGGGCGACTGCATCGCACCGGCACATGTGACGGTCAGGTCGAGGGTTTCTGGGTTCTAGAGATGGTATAGAAACGACCAAAGCAACGTATTCCATAGTCTTCCATGCCCACGATGAAGAAGTCTCCCTCCCCCAAAAATACACACCCATGTCATCCCATGTCTATGTAAAGCAATCATGGGACACCACACCATTGACCCCGGAAGCAACCGCCCCATTTTTTTTGCAAGTATGCCAGCCCCATGATGTGTTTGGGATAGTATTCCAGAAACCACCTCGGCCGTTATTCGTATTATTCTGAGACGCACTAAAAAGATGTACAGAAACGTTGAGGCTTTACTCGGCTTTACTACACCCCTTGCCAATTGTGAGTGATGAGGTTGGACTCAAGGCCAGTGTGGGGTTGTTGAACATCTACCCTCTCTCCAACCATCATGGAAGGACGTCCTGTCCCCTGGAAAGACCATTCTCCTCTCCAAGCCGGGGGTTGTCCAATTCCATGCGTCGTGCAGAGGGTATGTGTTGTGACACCTACCACTGGTCAGCCTTGTCTCACAGGAGCCGAGACTGGAGGAAATCACATTCACCAGTGCACAGTTGCGAGAGGTGCCATTGCCGTTGCTGCGCGGTTGAAAGAATTCTGGAGGTGTCATTGGTTCAGTCGTTGGTCTTTTAGCTGGGATGTCTCACAATCTGTGGGTTCGGTCGTTTTTCCCAGCTGATATTTCAATATATTTCATCTATATATACTTCCTCAAGATGGTCGTTCGCGAGGCTGGCAGAGGAATGGTGCAGTTCCCAAGATCATGTCAATCCCGTGGCTGTCATTTGACCTGACATTTCCGAGTTGTACTAGTTCTGCTTCCTGGGACAATTCATCCCACTGACTGACAAGTGATGTGTTTTCAGGTAGATTGAAGCAGCTGGGCTAGTCAAGGCAAAAGCCAGGCCCCATGCTTTCGTTTGGATTGCTAATCGACATCATGCTACCGGCCCTGTTTGGTTTGCAAAGTACTACTCGCATGAATAATGTTGCGATGTTGCCAGAATCTAAGGTGCACGACACGACACGCACGACGCAATCCGAGGCAATAGAAAGATGAAACAAGTGAGTCGACTTAAGTGGAATCCTGGAAGCGTAATCGGATAGGTTGGCGAGTTCTTTGAGCGGTGGAGCAGGCGTCAAGGGCTTGGTCCACCTGAGCCATACCCTGCCGGTGTCTTGTGGTGTTGCGCCAAGGTCGACGAAGGGGCGCCAACAAAGAATGGGCACCAAAGCCGGCTGTTCCCCTGCTAGGTCGCAAACTGCATGAACTGCTTCCCCTTGTGTTGTGCACATCTCATGGTGGCAATGTTGCGCTTATCTACATCTTGGTCCAGAACGACAGCGGAAGTCCCAGGAACATATACAAGTATAAATGATTGTAAGAGTTAACATATGTTTTCAAGAAACGTTTTTTAAATATGAACAAATATATATATATATATACATATAACAGGCAGAGCCCACTTGACCATTGAGAAACGGCAACGTTTTCATCGACTGTGGCTCAACATGCAGGCCACTCAGGTTCTAGGTGTGAATGATTATTTCGGGTGGGTGGAATGTCCATCCCATCTTGTTGGGGCTTGGTCCAATATTTCACGCAATGTTCCACTGGAGGCAAGCTGACTGTTGCAGAGAAGTGAACCGCAATTGGAATTGCACGTTCCGCTGCCCACCTCATCGAGTGTCGCCCTGACATGGGTTTGGACAACCACTTCGCATGAAGCGTGCTGCCAGTGTATGAGAACCAAAGCACATGAACAGTTGCACTTGAAATTCACAGCAAGGTACCTTGGTTTTTGCGTCACTTAGCAGTACAGTAGTGTTTTGCCATTTTTGTATCCCGTGCCAAGGACACAGCCAAGGGTTCGGTGGGCTGTGGTGTGGGTTCTTGTTTTTTCAGATCTGACTAATGTTTGTGTTTTTCTGGCACGAACAAAGCAGCACACACATTAAGTTCACCGTTGCCCATTAGTTGTCACAAGGCCTCGCTATCAATGTGTTGCCGCTTGCGGCAGTTTGTCGAAAGAATTGTTTCAATATTCAATCATTTGGGTTGCTGGTTCACCTGCAGCGTCCTTTTATTAAATGGCAACCTGGGAAGTCCCAACTAAATTAACATGTTGTTTCGCTCACGGGGTTGTTTTTTTTCTAGCTTAGTCCATTCCATTCTGACATTGACATCATTATTCATGGGACAGACCTGACTGAAGGGGAGAATACGTGCTGTTATGTAAAGTCAATCATGGCCAACTGGTGTTTCATCGCGGGATGTATTGTTGTTTACCCATGTTCAGTGGTACAAAGACAATACACATGCAATGTCGTGACGGGAACAGTTTGTTGAAAGGGCACTTTGTGTGTGTGTTGTGTCACCATGTATGTATTCACTTGCATTGTCCAATTGCGTGTCTACAGGACAGCATAGGTTAAACAAAAAAACACATACATTGCGTGCTTAGACTGTCATGTCCAGTGCCAAGCAAACATTGTCCTGCAAACGACTCCCCGAACCTGGGGTATGGTGGTGGAAACATGCATCAGGTTAACTTTTGGTGAATCACGGGATGCCACCTGATGTTGGACAAACACATTTGTTGTTTGCATATATCATATATAGTATATTATATGTCATTGGGGTCAGCGATTTAGGTCAGCGGTCATGAGTGCACAGGATATGGCAGGCATTTGGATATTGAATTCAAAGCGTCAATTAATGGCTTGCAACATGTCACTCCCAGAACTTCCAACGGTTCATTTTACTCCACGTAATCATAACCCACCACTACCAAGGGAACAAGGAAGGTCGAATCCCAGGAGAGATTGGTCCTAGACTCCAGTGAACGGGAGACTCCAGGGACCTTTGAAAACCATTTGCTTCGCAGCTGCACTTTTCCCACACCCCAACAGGGTCAGTTGTTTTTTTTTATGTGTTCTTTTTTGTGTGTGTTCTTTGATTGAAGGCTGCTTGATCTGAGCATCTGATGACGAGAAACGACATACCGGGCTACCTAACCAGGGCTTATAGACATTGAAAGGATCAGAAAGAACACAAAAGGATACGAAAGATCTGTCAACGGGTTTTGTGGACCTCCAAGACATTCCAAGATCACTTTTTGAACTCCTTGGGACCTTGAGAATGACCTGCAAACCAACAACAACCAGGCTTGATTTGCCCAAGTTTTTGCATGGCATGGGTGTGTAACAGGGAGCCCCAACCAATGGTAAATGGACAGACCCCACAGGCGCGAACGCGCGTGGCGGTGCTCCACGTGGGCGGCGCGACCTTGAGCAGTGCCCTGCTGCTTGGTGTGGAAGGGATGGTGCGGTGGCTTCGGTCCCTTCCGGAAAAGATAGGAAAAAGGGATCACATGGAATCACCATCTTGAAGTGTTTTGGGGGGCTTGGGTCCACATGAACGGGTGGACAGTTTGGTTTCTATTCTTTGCCAGGCCCCGAATTCGCTTTTTGCGGTTTTTCGGTGGTCCGGAGAGGCCGATTCGACCGTCGACCAGGTCCACGGCTGGCAGCAGCGCCTTTTTGCTCTTCTGCACCTTGACGATCTTCGTGAAGGTGGCGACGGCGACCTGTGGCGACGGCGTCGCGACCCCGGGTCGACCGCTACTTATATGGTTACACCGATCCTTTTGAAAGAAGAATGGCCTCATAATCAATGGTGTTCGAATGTTGATGAGCTTTTGCGTAGTATTACAGAGGTTCACTAGAATGCGAGATTGGGCAAGCCCTCCGAACCCATTGATGTTTCACGGGTTTCTACGGGTTGGGAAAATCCGGTTTTGTTCCAAGAAACCTGGCATTTGATGGGTGTCCGTGGGTTCGCGATGGTCTGCCAGGGGTGGTCAACAGCCCCAAACATGTATGTATCTAGTTTGCTCTAAAACGTGTCATATAATTGATAATATCATGATGGGCACGTGAAACCACATTTTTTTTGTTGACACGATGAAGGAAAACCTTTGTGGGACATAAACAATTTCCTCTCACAAAGGCCCTTGAAAACCCAAGGGTTCTCACTGAAGAGCCCAGGTTTTGGGCTTTTGACCAAAGACGGAAGCCAAGGTCCTTATTCAGCACCATAGATGCGTGTAGGTTCTTCATTCGTCAAGGATTGTCAGGTCAAAAGAACTCTAGCAAGCCGAACAAATGGACGCTTTTCCTACCCTCCACCGGCGGATTCACCAGATCCGCCGCCGCCATTGTCACGTCACGTCCGGATCCGCGCGCAGCTGGGTGCTGTGGTGGTGGCGGTCACCGTGCTCTCCATCGTGGCAGCCATCGTCACGTTGCCTGCGGCACTGATCAAGGTGTGACCGATGCCACCACGATGCCACCACGCGCAGTGCGCTTGCGCAGGCGGTGTGGTTATATTGTATTTGGTACACCGGCAGGCGGTAGGATCAAGTCAAGTGTCACCATTTTTGCGTTGATTTGGGACTGTTTTGGGCTTTATCAGCTCAGGATCTTTTCTCGGCCAAGTAATGGGTGTGGTGTGGTTCTGTTTTGATTTCGTCACCGGGGTGTTTTCCTCATCCCCAGCGCCATGTTTCCGGATTGAACATGTTCGAGTTCTCCCTGCCTCACAGAAACCAGCAAGGGACATGGGATTGCACTGGAAATTTGAAAAACCTCTTACTTGCTCCGAGCTGCTTGCTACGAGGTTCTGAGCTTCCGGGTTGAGAAATATCGATCTGACTGAGCCTATGAGTACTCATCTCGGTGTGGTCGCAAGAGATGTTCTAGGGGTCAACATCTACCTGCTTGAACGTTTGGTGCCTCAGTCAGTGGTACAGAATCATGATGAATGATTCTGCAGGAGTCATACCCCGTGTCATACCATTGAAAAGCGAACATTGAAGCTGAACATGCATGCCCAGAAGACACTCAGTTTGTTGCGATATACAAAAGGTTCTGTGGATTTCGAGTTCCATGCCGTTCATGTTGCATCTCCCTTGTCTACACTTGCCCTTCATCCAAGTCCTAGACAGTCACAGATGCACAACATTCCCTCCCTTTAAACCCTAAGGAGTTGGGTGCTTCATGGACACCCATAGACACCCCTCGGCGTTCAGAGACATGCCAACCTACTAGCTTCTTGTTACTAGTAGTGAGGATGTTTTTGATGTCAGAGAACTTGGACGCATGAGGACAAGAACAAAAACAAGGTACGGCAATATTGCAAGACGAGCTGCAATACGTTGTTTTTAGACATTGACATGTGATTTGCAGTTTCCATATTGTTATTATATGTTCAGCTTTTGTGTGTACCGGAGATTTACATGAAGTCCCTTTCAAATCACACCACCACCTGGTCTCTTTTACCTCCCTGCAAAGCTTGGGCCACTTCTTCCTGCCACCTCCAGCATCTCACTCCAAAACCGCCGAGAAAAACAGAGGGAAACACGACTTCTCCTAATACGGCGCGGGCCCCTCATCCCGGGGCGCCGGCGACCATGGAGTGATGGACGAAGCTTGGAGCTGTCACTTGGAAGACTGTCCCGTCGATGCCGGCTCTGACCCAGTGCCGAATCCGGGGGCGTGCCAAGTGGGGCCGAATCCGGGGTGAAACACTACCCTCCTGCAGATGAACATGAACCCTGAAAAATCACCAGGTTGTAAAGGAACATCGTCTCGCAGTCTCGCAGGAGTCTTTTTTGAGGGCCGATGGGGGGAACCCCGGAATGGGTTGTCTAGGTCTTGGGGTGGTGTCGACGCACTGGATCTCGAACTTTCGACCAGATGCCCTGAAACGGTCGCTGCGGTCGCTTGGTGCGCAACGTTTGGTGGTTGATGATGTTGTTTCTTGATTCCCGGGGTGGTTTTTGCTGAAGCCTCCAGCTTCAAGAATGGTGTCATCAAGCGCATTCAGTTTTGTTGGATTTGGACAACGACATGGAGATTCATTCTGGAAAGAAAAAGAGAGATCGAAGTGGGTCCCGGCGTCGTCGTCCGGAGCAGTTCGTTGCACGACTTACAGAATCTGTGTTCCACTCAGCGATTTTGGGGATGTCAACCACCTGAGGATTTGTGCTAAGACATTCAGATTCGTGTGCAGAAACAGGATCATCAGAATCTATACTCATGTGACTGCAAATATGGCCTGCATTCGCCACCCGAAACCACCAGTCATGTAGGCCATATTTGCAGTCACATGGAGCGTTTGGTAATTTTGGGTATAGACACCTCGTTGTGTATCATTTTGCTGACGAAGGCGGGGCAATGTCAACATGAATTGGTAATGCTTGGAGAACATGTGCTTTTGTTTAGTTCAGAAGTACCTTTGATGGGTTGACCTAGATGGGTTCAGAAGTACCTTTTGCTTGGACCCACTTACACTCAATTCTGTTTCATTTGATGCACCTTGAATTCAGTCTCCTTCGGTGCTTTTGCATTCAATTCATTTGTTTGGCTACACTGAGGTGACCGCTGCACCTTGATTAACAGCCTTTCCTCGACCACCTGTGTAGCCTGCGGATGGCAATGTGCTGTGCCTGCACCAGCTCCCACGCCCACAGCTGCGGAGTGCGAAAGGGCAGTAGAGCAGCTGGGAGAAATTGGAAACGTGCTTGGACGTGAGGTGGAAGAGTTACACAGCAAATGCCCACTGTGTCCCTCGTGACAGAAATTATTACCACCATGGATCACCATGGCATAGCTCAAAGCGCAGGGATCGGGCATCAGCACCAGTCGGGTCGTGTCAGGTCATCCAGTTAGAGCTGATGTTCGAGCTCTGTTTGAGGAGATAGGACAACAATTGGACCAACGAAGCTCTCCAAGAAGGCATTTGAAGTTGTTGTCAGGCTTTGTCTATGAATTTGGGAGCTGGTTTTTGATCAGGATCATCGTCATGATAATGACTAAGGCTAAGGTGTTTATGAATGCTTATGCCATTGTATGACTGATTCTGGGTGGTAGGTGGGTTGCGACGAAAGCCGTTTCCATTCCATTCATTATGTGCAATGGGATCTATGTTTTGGGTGCTGCCGTGAGCATAGAACCCAAGCGCTTCTCTCCGGCAAAACATGTGTGAGTTTTCAAGACGATGTTCCTTTACGAACAGGACTGGCTTTCCACTTCCATGTGATGTGTTTGTGGAGTTTTTAACTGATACATACGTCTGCCGTTGCTGCCGTTGCTGCTGCTCCGCTTTGGCGTATCTGTGGATCTAATAGAAATCTGGATGGGTCTTATGGTATGTGTCTTCGTGTGACTTGATCGTTTGGATCAATTGGGACTCGGGATACACGTCGGACACGGGACACGGTCGAATTCCAGCGACGAATTCCGTCTTCGCCAGGCAAATTTGGAATTTGGGCTCGTTGAAGGCACGGACCGTGGGACCGTGGGACCGTGACCCAATTGTGTGACTCGCATGGACCGTGAAAACCACTGGCAGGTGGGGAAAACCATCGAAAACCATGGGGCCCATGGGGCTGTCCAGGGGGTTGGGACGGGATAGGACAGAGGTTTTTCGGGGGCCGAAAGAGAGCCTCATCCGGAAAATGGCCGGATTGTGCTTGTTGCGATGGTGTGTGCTTGGATTGTAGGGCGAAAACGATGCCATTTCATTTGGGACACCCTTTTTAGGTGGAAACACGGAGTTGAAGTCTTCCCTTATTTTTTTGGCACAAGGGTTGTTGCCTTGCGAACTTCAGATCTGTGGCACGACTATTTGAGTTTTATTCTGACGATTTGGTTCAATGGCCCAAGCCTTCTGAACCCAATTGGCAGAGCGTTCGGATAGAATTTAGGGGAGGCAGTGGCAGCGTGTGCAGCGTTTTTTGTCGTTGTTTATATATAGTTGAAGATGGTCGACGAAGCCAAAAGAATCAAAGTATCGAATCCAATCCCATCCTGTCCTGTCAAAGTGTATCCCACGCCAGCGCGGCACAAAGGGCGGTTTATAACCCTGCCTGGGTGATGGGGTGGTTACAGCGGCCACTCTTTGGGCCACTCCAATCCAAGGGCCTCAGTAGGTTGAAGACGTGATTTGGTTCACGTCCGGTGAATCCTCAATATCAATATGTAAGTGTTCCTCACTCGGGCGGCCCTGCCCCTATTTGGAGTCTCTATATATGTTTGACCAACGTCATCCGGGGTCCACATTCTGGGCCTGTGAGAAACAGGCCTTGCAGCGTCGAACTCCGCAACGGCTCCGGTGGACTCCACGAGGCCTTGTTGACACTGGTCACCAACATCCTGGACCACCCAGGCGAGGGCCCGAAGGACGCCCAAGGACGGTAAGTCTTTGGAGTACCGTTCGTGCCCTACCATGCCCGATGTGCTAGCATTAGCGTCGTGCAGGGTTATATTACAACAGGGTGGATTCTAAGACATTCCAGCTTCTCAAGAAAAGGGACAACACCCGCAATAGGCTTAAGATGTTGCTCGAAAGCAGCGAAGTAGGCCGTTGCTCAAGTGTGCAGGTGATGATTTGGCGTATCTAAGAGTTCGCATAGAATCTCTCAGAATCTTCCAGAGTGTTCAAAGTCCTCCGCTTTCTATTCTTCCTCTAGACTCTAGACTGCCCAGCCGTATATCCTGCCTTTGCTTCGTCTTCGATGTGGAGGTGAAGCCAAGTACCTGGGTCCCATCAAGAAGTCCAACAGTCGCATCAATGGCTCCATCGTTCAGGTCTCGGGCGCCGCCCAGGCCGAGGGAAGCCAAGGGATCGCCGAGCCCAGTGAGTCATCGGTGTCGCGCGAGAGGGGACAAATGAGAAACATCATTTTTTTTAAAATGAGATCCTAGAGGAAAGGGTGTAGTGTAATGGTTTTGACATGTTTTGACCACCTTCTCAGATGAGCAACCTCATGAACCTCTATGAAAGAATTTGGCTAGGGCTTGAGATGATGGATCTTACATGCCCGATGACATTTCTACTACGAAATGCAGGGACCTAGGTCCCCTATAGAACATGTTTGTTTTCTAGGGAGGCACTTTTGTACACTGACTTGATTCCCTGGCATTTTCTAGAAACGAGCTTGAGCATGTTGTTCTATTTGGGGGATGCATTTTCTAAGGAGTAATTTGAGTGAGATGATGATAGGTGATGGTCAGTCGATGTCGCATTTTCTAGGACGATTGGAGGACACAGTGCAAAAACCAACATTGCATTTTCCAGAAACATATTAGACAATGACTTCTGGGATGTCCGTCCATGTTTGTCATGCAGCTGTCAATGTTCCCCTAGAAAATGAGACTTATATAAATAGGATTTTTGTTGCTCGCTGATACTTTGGAAGCTGAACCTGGACAGATCATTTTCTAGAGACTATTTTCAGACGGCAGGAATACCAGGGAAGAGCAAGTAACCAGGGAAGAGCAAATATTTTGGACGGTGTCATTTTTCCACCACACCTTGAATTCTATAGGGATTTTTCCACAACGTACCATTTTCTAGTATACGAGATATGCCTTGATAGGACCTCACCTAGAATTCTACCAGAACATCTAGCGGCCCAGTTTCTCCTTAGAATATCAACAAGGATGATCTTACCAAAAACTGCAGCAGTTGTGGATAAAGGTCTTTATGATCTATATGATTATATGATTATTGGATATGGATATGTCATGAGATATTGGCCGAAGGACTCACATGTTGCCCTAAAGGTCAGGAGGATCTTCAGAGGTTATGAGACCAGTGAAATTCTGAAAATTCCAACAAGCTTGTATCTCCGGGTCCAGGCGCATTATTGTCCAGGTGACAGCTGGGCATCCCTTTTCTTAGCCCAGCTGAGGTGACCCGAGAGCCTTTCTGAGGGTTTCTGAGTGTTGCATCTTCTTCGTTGGCCACGTCTCTTCATGTTTTTCATTACTTCCTTTTCTGTCGTCTCGTCACGTTCACCTCGACTCTTCGGTGAAGGGATCTCTAAGGGGTTTTCTGAAGCAGAATTTCCGGGTTGCCACGGCACATGGGCCGCACCTTACCGGAATCCACATTCCTTCAGGCATGAAGGTACTATCATAGAAAGAAAACAGCCAGTCACCTGAGGGAACAAAAAACTCTCACCGGTCACTACATATGAATGCCTTTCATGGATCGCCCATAGAGAGAAGTCATGGAAGTCATGGGACCTTCATCGAGGACCTGCCCCGACACCGCCACGGTGCGCCACGCCACCGTGCGCCAGGTCCTGCACCTCGCCGGCTTCCGCGAGGACGCCGAAGCCTTCGCGTCGGCGGGCGACGTGGTGCGGCTGCGGCGCGTGCAGCACGCACTGCGGAAGCAGCAGGAGGTGGTGACCTGCTTGGAGCATGAAGGTGGAGAGGGGAACCATTTCAAAGGGCCAGAAAACTACTGCCGTCACCTGTCGGGGTGGTTTTTAGTCTTTTTGTGAGTGGATGTGAGGCGGTGAGGGCACCCCATTCTCCCAGTTCGGCGTCCAACTCCATAAAACTACTGGTGGACAGTTCAAAGGTTTGGATTCAGAGCCACAGTTTCAAGAACCTCTCAAGTCAATCTTTGGAATGTGACTAAGCTATGATCTAGTTCCTTTTCAACAGCTACCATTGACTGATTGAGGCTTCTCATGCATGTATGCTGATGTGAACGTGTACGTATATAATCGTTTTTTGGTCAGGATGTTTGGTGTCAATTAGATATAGTTCATGCTGTACAAATCTGCAACTGCCCTTCGGTTTTACTCCTGAATCTTGCCGTGGTGTTGTTTTTTCCGCGTTTGAGGTGCTCCGCGAGTCTTCCAACCATGTGTGTACTATGTGTTGTTTTTTGCGCCCACAGAAACACCGCAGCACCGCTTCGTTCAGGTTGGGACGGACCCGAGAAAGATCGCCGGTCCCCGTTTGGTTCAATGACAAACCCAAAGAAACCTTTGTCAAAGGTCCCTATAGGGTTTGTAATTGAACGACATCCCTATAGTGTATGTGCATCCTTATATAAGTCCTTATGTGGATATGTATTATGATGTATTATGTATATAGGATGATTCTTCCATGCAGGCATCCTGGAATGAAAACAAGATTGATACAAACATGGAAAGCCTGGGAAACCGTTTAATTCTCCCAATAAAGGACAAGTTGATTTGCCAATTGACGATCGGAAAGCAATTTACAGCAGTTTTCTGGCAGGCATTCCCAAAGCAACCTTCAATATTGCAGCTGTTTGGTGATGTCCTTTTTCACCTTCTAAAAGGAACAGTTTGACACTGGACTTCGACCGATCATGGATCGGCATCACGGATCGGCGCAGTCTCGGGGAGACTGAGGTGCAAAACTCGCATGGCTACAAAGAAGGAGTCACTTGGCTGTGGGTCATGGCACCAGGATACCTTTGTTGACCTACCGCCGCTACAGGTTCTGACCCATCCCCACGTCTTGCGTCTCTTGAAAAAGCGGGATGTTCAGGGCTTCTCGTCATCAGTACGACTCACCAACTGCATTCAGCCCGGGCGCTCAAAGCCTCGGTCGTGGGCATGGCGCGAGGGGACGACGTGCACGATGGTGCGCGAGCTGGTGGAGCGCGAAAAAGCAGGGCGGAGCTGGTGGATTCATTGCTTTGTTGGAACCATTTCCCGGACATTCGACATATATATATATATATAGAAGCAAATTGGAGTGGTTGATTTCAGGGGTAAGCCTGGCACGGCAGTCCCTATTCCAGTCCCATGGCCTGTTTGGGATTGATGAATTGATAGAAGCGAGTTGGATTCCAACAGGTTCGGACCCAAACAGCGGGACCACAGAATTAGAAAGATCACTTGCCGCTGTTCCGGCTCCACTTGTTTCACACGATTGGCACTAGTAGTCCAAATGTTGGCATAATGAACTAACCTGAGCATATATTTCGATCTAAATCCTTTGAGTTCATAGATTTCCTGGTGTTATCCCTCGAACTTCCTTTCTGAAGACCTTTGTTTTTTGTCCTGTAGATCTTCCACAACCAAACTCTGTGTTTGTCATGATTTTTCAGGTGAAGTGTTTGTTTTATTGTCTTTATGCTATGCTTCTTAGGGTAAGTGTCCCCGGTGGTGGTGTGCCCCCTTCCTTCCCAGGCCGTGTTATCTTCCAAGCCCCGTTTCGATGAGAACCTGCTGCGTGAGATCCATGCGGAAGCCCAACACCAGGTGGGCCTGTGGCGCGAGAGGGGAGATGCACCCAAAAGCGGGCACTCTGCAGTTTGGACATGTTTGGACCATCACTCCGATTGGTCCAGGTTATATCACAGACCCAAGTCTGAGGAAGTCACTGTACGAGTTCCAGGGCGGTGTTCTTCTCCCCTTATGTGAGTGAAGATAGAGGGGAGAAGTTACGGTCGTGAACCACGTGCGGTCTAGACTAACTGGTCTCAAATCCTCTTTGATTTCCAAATGAATGTGTCTCGGTCTCACAACGAACGTCCCATTGAATCGATCATACTCATCAATGAATCTGTAGTTGAGTAGTTATACAATGATGGGCATCAAACATAGATCAGCAAGATTAAATGGTACCAGATATAAGAGATCGATCAATCAATTGCCTTTTCTCTTGTTCTGTCTTTTGTACGTTGATTGATTTTCTGGAATTTATACATGTACGTACCATACAATACCATACCATTACTGCACATTGAATTATATACGCTTTATGTACATTCCCAGACCTTCCATACATTTACCGATCCACCCCACTTTTCCAGTCCCATGGATGATCTGGGACTTATGTACGTACACCGCCCAGTTTGCCAGGCCACGCTCCGCGGTGCGCCCGCCGCCCCCGCTACGGCCCCCGGCCACGACGGAAGCGCGGCCCCGACCGCGGCAACCTCTCCGGCCGCGCTGCGGCTGCGGCTGCGCATCCCGGTGGGCGGCTCCGTGGACGCGTGGCCACGGGGATAACGTTTTATAGTTTCAAAGGAAGAGACGAGAGGTTGCCAGGTTGCGACAGAGGTGGTATATGCAGTGTGTTATGCAATGTAATGTGATGTGATGTAGCCGATGTAGCATGTAATGTGTGTGTATGATTGTGTATGTACAACATATGTACAATAGAGCAAGCTTTAAATGTCTATATATTCAGTTGAAGAAGAATCACTCACTCACTCACTCACTCACTCACTCTCTCTCTCTCTCTTTCTTTTTCTCTCTCTCTCTTTGTCTTTATTTCTTTCGTTCTTTCTCTCTTATTTTGTTTTTATGTTTTTCTTTCTTCCTTCCTTTCTTTCTTGCTTTCTTTCTTTCTTTCTTTTTGAACCCCCTTTTGTGAGGCTTGTTGGATCTATTGTTTCAGTAGAAGTCTGAAAGTGTGACTTGTTTTTTGCCGACTGGGTGAGAACAGAAGTGCAAGCACAGATCCAAATTCATCCAAAACTCAGCTGTTCATAGTGCGTCCGACAGTTGGATGGGCCAAGTTTTATGTGATGTTTATGTCACTATATATATTTAACTATACTTATACGAATGCTGTACGAAGTATATATACCTGAAGGATCTTCTGCTACACTTTTTTTTGCACGACCCCTCTTTGGATACACTTCTTGAAGTTGTTGTGCGTTTTTCAGGGGGCTGCGCGTTTTTTGGTGGTTTCATGATGTATGAGCACTTTTTGGGGGGTTGAGCTTTCTAAGGCTGAACAGCAGGCACAAACCCTTCCAATCCCATCAAATCTGCCAGTGTTTGTCGGTGTGCACAGGCCACCGGCTTGAGGCTCCAGTTCCATGCCTCGGGAGTGGCCGGGGCCAGCGGTGGGCAATGGGAATGTGCATGGGGCACATCCCATGGCATAGAGCATGTACATGCATCAAAGATACTTGGAATGTGCATTTCACGATGTTCAACATGCAAACATATTACAGCAAGATCTAAAGCCGCGGATATATCGGCCATGCAGCTACTGGGCCACGAAGCGCCCTTGAAAGTTGAGAGGCGCGGTCCGCGCAGTCATCTTTATCGCATGTCATCGGTGCATGTTGGCACATGTGCGCATGTGCATGGGCCTGCTCACTGAGCCTGCATCATGCCCGAGCTTTCCTCAGCCCTCCAATGCTCAGAACAGCAAACATACACATCAACCACCGGTGGCTGAACTAAGAATTATTTCTTTCACACGTGCGTAGCATGTGCAGGAGGACGGGTGTGTAAGCTTTTTGAGTGCTCAACTTTCTAGCTTTCGAAGTTGCCATGCCCGTGGACGTGAGCCTTGTGGTAAAAGAATGGTTGGACGCGCCCACCATCATTCAGCGCGCTGCCATGTTCAAACTGATGAGCTATGAGATAGGCATCACACCTGATGCTGCAGAAGCCCACAGCATCATCTTGGCGCCGGTGATGCAGCATTTGGGTCTGGTACATAATTTGTGTGAAGTCATGTGCACTCATTTTTAAGTTTATGCAGGGTAAGGTGTGAAAGGTTCTTGGGGGTTTGAGCTTAGGTCTCAAGCCATCAATCCATGTTATTCGAGCAGCTGTTGGACGTTTGTATGCTTGCTGCCAGCCAGTGGGAACCAAAGGGCCTACACGTCGCTTGGCGGTCTGAAATGAACAGTCTCGAGTGCCTAGCTACCATGCTTTGTGAATATGCATGAAGGGTTTTCAGCCATGGCAGTGGAGCGTTTTGTTATGGCTGTTCCTTAAATTTATATCATGCATGAACGAACCCAAGGTAACCAGATCAGGAAGGCTGCCTGGTATTTGCGCAAGTTGATCTCAATTTGGAAGCGGTGGGCGCAGCGGGGTACTGTTCCACGATCCAAGGGGCAAAAAGCTTTGTTCGAGGCGGCAGGTATTCCTTGGCCAGAAGGTTTTTTGGATTGACATGAGAAACTTTTATGAGGCGGGCTATTTAAGACTGCATGATTTGCACGCGTGTACCTCAAAGCCCAAGAGACCCAAAAAAATCCGGAGTCCCCCAGCTATGTATACGATCCAGGCAACATAGAGGTATGTACCAGGTGGGCAAAATATTATCAACTAAGGATCCGAGCGCGGGTCGACTGCCATCAGCTTGACCGATGATGGCTGTGAAGAAGGTTTTGAAGAAGAGGCCCTTGAGGATGATGCAGTGGTTGAGGACACCCCAAAACGTTACCTGTTTGTGCGCCCCCCACTCTTCACACAGCATATTGCGCATGAGTTCTAATCCACTTGGCCAGGATGAGGTGGATGAGGCACACATGGAACCACAAATATCTCCAGTCGCGCTTCCAACCGCCCCTAAAGATCAACCAGCAGAAATTGAGGGTCAGGGGCCAAGCAAGTACTTCATGGAAAATATTAGTCTTTCCTTCCAAAATTCCCGGGTTGCCCAAGCACTTGTGAATGAGGCCCCGCACGCGAGCTGGACTTCACCACACCTCCGCCAAAGAGCGGCTTGACACAAATCCAGGGATATCAAACTCGGGGTATGAAGTTCCAACTTGAGAAGCCTATGGTTTTTGTTTTGCCCGCTCAGGTCCTGTGGAAGAGCCAGCTTTTGAGAGCGCACCCAAAGAGCTGAAATACAACATCGATGAGCAGGACTATGACGCCAAGCAAAGGCAACTGCAGGTTTTGATTGCTATGGAACTTGAAACCGAGAACCTTTTGAAATTGTACGAGCGGAAGAGGGCCCTTGAGCTAGTTGATGCCAAGACCAACGAGATCAATCAAAGTGGATGTCCCACACATGCACTATAGACATCTCAGAATGGTTACATATTTTTTTGCCCTGTAGGTGTTTCTTCACATTAACTTACCAGGGCAAATATGAGTTCTATATACCGTGGGTTTGTCCTTGGCTTAGGTATGGATGTTTACGAGACTTTGCCTATGCCCTTTGATGTGATGCACCACATGGCGGAAGATGCTAAATTGCGGGAGGAACCCTGTCCACCTCCGCAAGGTGATGCAGCTGAAATCCTACGTATGAAAACTCTACGTTTGGGTGATTTTGAAGAGGGGGGCATTGAGAAAGAAGTTCACAGTGAGTCTGCCCAAAAATGTGATCAAAAAGACTTTGAAGAGGGGGGCATTGAGAAAGTTCACA